TTCGCCCCGCGGGCCGTAGTTTACCCACGGCTGAGCTAACCCATGAAGGGCGTGTAATTTTGAGTGAGAAATAAACCCTTGTTTTTATTTTATTTATTTACTTATTTAAAATAATATTTTTATTGATGTCAGAGAGGAAGAAAGGGATGGAAACATCAGTGATGAGAGAGAATCATTGATTGGCTGCCTCCTGCACGCCACCCACTGGAGATTAAACCTGCAACCCAGGCATGTGCCCTGACCAGGAATTGAACCATGACCTCCTGGTTCACAGGTTGACACTCAACCACTGAGCAACACTGGCTAGGCAATAAACCCTTCCTGTTTTAGCCTCTAAGACTTTGGGACTTCTGCAGTATAACTTAGACCAGTGGTTGGCAAACTGCGGCTCACAAGCCACATGAGGCTCTTTGGCTCCTTGAGTGTGGCTCTTCCACAAAATACCATGTACGGGCGCGCACGTACAGTGCGATTGAAACTTCGTGGCCCATGCGCAGACGTTGGTATTTTGTGGAAGAGCCACACTCAAAGGGCCAAAGAGCCGCATGTGGCTCCCGAGCCGCCGTTTGCCGACCACTGACTTAGACAATAATGAATACAGAAATCAATGTTTTAAGTTAGTCTAAATCCTGATAAAAGTAAGTTTTAGACATTTCCTTTCCCTGCTTTATTTGTAAAACAATTCCTATCTTGCTTTAAGTGTGCCTGTTGTTCTAACACATTAACTTAGGTTGCTGAAACTTTCTGGACATCTACATGACTCAAGTTCAAAACTATTTCTATGACTAAGAGCAACCGAAGGGGAGTGTACAAAGCGGATTTGTTTCTGCATCTCAGGTTATTGACTATAAAAGTAAATTTTGAGATACACTGAGAATTGAGCCCTAGACTTGACAGAGGAACAAGCATGTGGTTGTTAGCCTGGGTGCAGGGAGAAGGCTGGCAGAGTGCATGGTGAGGGTGGGGGACCTCATAGAGGAAAAATTGGTACCCTCCTGCCAGTCAGAGATGACGAATGACAAAATCAGAGATGCAGAAAATGGGTAACCATTTCCTAGAAGACCAACCGAAGGGCTGTGGTGCTGGTGCGAACTAAGCGGCAGAGCGTTTGCTGAAATGCAGAAGGAAAGTGAAAAGAATTGGTCAGGGGCAGTGAGAAGAGGAGAGGTGGCAGGAGGAGGGAGTGGGGGAAGGACATTCAGGAGAGGGAACACCATACTAAGGGGTAGGGTGTGAAAACTCCAGGTCACTCAATGGCCACCTGTTGACTTCTTCTGAGGACTGAGAGCTGTAGGAGAAGGTGTTAGGGGTGTGCAGAGAGCTGTGCATGGGATGCTATCCACAAAGACCTATATGCCATGGTGAGGAGCTTGGTTGTTTTTTGTTTGTTTTTATTTTTACTGTGGTAAATATGCATAACATAAAATTTACCATTTATCCATATTTAAGTGTATAGTTCTGTGGCATTGAGTACATCCACAGGGTTGTGCAACCATTACCACCATCCACCTCCAGAACTTTTAGCATTCCCCTCAAGTGATACTTCCTGCCCATCAAATACTTCTTCCCCATTCCTCCCTCTCCCAAAGCCAGGCAACCACCAGTCTACATTCTATAGCAGTGGTTCTCAACCTTCTGGCCCTTTAAATACAGTTCCTCATGTTGTGAGCCAACCATAAAATTATTTTCGTTGCTACTTCATAACTGTAATGTTGCTACTGTTAAGAATTGTAATGTAAATATCTGATATGCAGGATGGTCTTAGGCGACCCCTGTGAAAGGGTCATTCGACCGCCAAAGGGGTCGCGACCCACAGGTTGAGAACCGCTGTTCTATGGAAAGTCAAACACGAATCTGACTGCTCTAGGTACCAGAAGTAGAATCATACAGTATTTGGCCTTTTGTGACTGGCTAACTCACTTAGTATAATGTCTCAAGTTCATCCATGGTGCAGCATGTGTCGCATGCTGCAGAATTTTATTCCTTTTGAAGGCCGAGCACTGTTCCGTTGTATGTCTGTGCTACACTGTTAATCTATTTACCCGTCCATGGACACTGGGTTGCTTCCACCTTGGGACTACTGTGAATAGTGCTGCTATGAACGCAGGTGGAAAAATGCCTGCTCATGTCCCTGCCTTTAGTTTTTTGGGGTTTTCTTGGTATATACCCAGAAGTGGAATTGCTGAGTCATATGGTAATTCTATGTTTAGTTTTTGAGGAATAAAGCTTGGTTTTATCTTTTCAATAAAATGAGGTACCACTAATGGATTTTCATAAGGGAAATGACCTCATCAGGTCTGAGCTTGAGAAAAGTTACCCTTTTCAGGTATCAGGGGCAGGACAACCAGGCTATAGAAATAACAGGTTTAGAAACCACAATGGGCTATGGGGACGGAGAGAATTCCCTGTAGGAGAGATGTTGGCAAGACTTGATGAGTCATCGTGGGTGGAAGGTGAAGGAGAATGAGCCAATTAGGAAGACATCTGGGCTTTAGGTTGAGCTGAATGGTGACAGTGGAAAAACAGGCTTAGAGAGAAAGGTGTCAAGTTAAATTTTGGAGGTGTGCTTTGGCGGTCCCAGAGGCACAGCCCAATAGTACAGCCCAGGAGGCAGTAGTATGTGCAGCTATGGGCTAATGATACAGCTTTGGAAGTCATCAGAAAGGATGACAACATCGAGGAAGTGAGAAAAACCTCGAGAAAAACCACTGGAAGGACATCAAGATAAC